AATTGGTGTTAGGAGAAAGTAGAGTGTGTTTCTGTGATGCAAGAAATCACAGCGAGTCATCAGAGACCTTTACCTAGCTCAGCTAATGTTACAGGAAATTCCAAAATGCCTGGTGTCTTATTTTTTTCTAATATTTTGACTTAGAGAAATAGTATCACATAAGTCAAGTTATTTAAAAATGGATGTTGCAAGTTTATTGGGATAAATTGAAACAGTTCTCATATTCTAACAAATAGCACAAACTTCATCTCTTCATAACACAGTATGGAAACACAACAGATCTGGTTTGAATCTCAGTCTGGTTCCAAAGAAATTAAGCTGGTTTAAGAAGTTCTTGATGGAAAAACCCAAAAGGACATGTTGAGAGGGACTAGATCCTGATTCAGTGGTTGAAGTTGTGACTGATGTATGGTTTTCTTAAGAAAGCTACTTGGTTATACCTGTGTCTCATGCTTGGGTGCATTTATCAGACTAACAGTCTGTTCCTTTCTGCCCTGAGCATGGGCAGATTCTGTCCGTTTGTTTTATCCCCTTCAGCTCCTGTCACAGGGATTTCTGGTCCAAGGAGTAAAACCAGCTGTGACACTCGGTACAGAAAGCTGTTTAACACAGTCTTATTCCTTTCTAGATCCACACGTGGCTGCAGCATTCCCACTGGCATAAAGAAAAAAACCCTCTAAAATCTGAATTCAGCTTTCCCAGGGGAAAATTCATGTTGTTTCTTAAAAGTTGAGGTTTTGCCTTACATTAATGACATAAAAAGGGCAGAAGATGAATTTTTACCGGAGTGTGAATTAAATCTCAACTACAAAATTAGTTAAAATGGGTTTGTGTGACTGGGATGGTTCTTTGTTTTCCTGTGCATTGTCTGTTGCTGTAGTGAGTTTCTCAGTAGTTTCATCTTCAGTTTTCCTTCTGTTCCCTGTGTCCCTCCCTGAGAGCAAGTCCTGCATTGTCAGCTCAGGTCCAGCTGTCTCCCTGGGCATCCTCTGCCACGTTCCTGCTGCCATTGGCCATAAGCTGCTGGTGGCCACAATGTCCCCGTTGCTCCTGGGCCTGCGTTTCCCCTGCTGAGTTTTTTTGAGATAGGACAGTTTATTTGCTATTACGACTGTTGACAGAAACAGGAAGGTGCAGATAAGCACAAGTACTGCAATGATAATGAAGCAGATCAGTACAAGAGACTTACTGTCTTCACATGTTTCTTTGGTCACTGGACTCTTGGGTTTGCTGGTATTCCTGGGTCCTGCAGTGGCAGAAACTGCACTGGTGGCAGGGGAAGATGTTGGATTTTGGGCCATTGTGGAGGAGAAGGACTGCAGGGTACTTTGCATTTCAAAGGTAGTAATTTTGCTGCTGAAATTGATGCTCAGAGGAGAATTTGTATTGGCTTCTGTTCTGTTCTGGCTCCCACTGAGGTTCTGGCTGATGGGATTCCAGGTTTCCTCTCTAACCCGAAGGGAACCGTTGTGGTTCGCACTCGTTTGCAAACACAGGGAGAAGATCATCGTGACAGGGAAGGCCAAGCCTGGGTTAGTGCATCTCTTTGTCTTCATCTTCCTAGTTAGTCCCCTGCAAAAATACAGATGGTGGTGTTAGTTGAGCAAGTGCTGGTTCTTAGGGGTTTGGACCAGTTTGGACCAGACTTCTGAGGGAATAGCCTCAGATGGACAGTGTGTGTAAGTTGGCCTCAGTTTTAGTGGATGTGGCACGTGAGTTCAGGCACTCAGTTTTGTGAAAGGATCAGTTGTCTCCAACTTCTGATAGTTTGGGGCTTATATAAAATATATGAATATTAAAAAAGAACATGGGGCAAAGAGAGAAAGGAAAGTGTTTCCTACCCCCTGCCCTCTGGCAGTTCCTCCTCTCCAGTGCTGGCCATGTTACACTCTGAGCTCCTCACTCCTCACTTCTGCACAGGGGATGGAGAAACCACATCAGGTTTACTGCTTCCCTCCCCCCTGCATTCCCCTGGGCATGGGCAATGGAACCATGCTGGTAGGGATGGGCAAGGGGAAAACTTCCACCCCAAATGTTCCTGTGACAGCAGTAGCTTTTGTGAACTGTTTCTATTTTCTAGCACAGCTGTCTGGAGTACTTTAAAATGCCCAGGAAAATCTTTGTTCTCCAATTTTTCTGCCTTTTTGCACAAAAAGCTATTTACCATAAACGTACTTGCATTTTTCTTCTGAACATGCTACAGATTGTGACATTTTCTTTAAAATGTCTCAGATAATTATGCCAATGAGATTAACCATTAATATATTCTGTTTCACATTTGTGTGGTATTCAAATTTGTACTTGTTGAATTTGTCTGCAGGGCAGGAAACTGATAGTTTCTGATACTGATGGGTCTGATATTGAGATAAAACCCTCAAAATAGCAGCGAGGAATCAGCCAAGCTGTGACCCACCCACTGCTGCTGCTTGGGCCAGGCTGCACCCGAGATGTTCAGAGATTAAGGCTGGTGTCCCATCCAGGACCTCTAGTAACATATCAGAATATTTCCTTTGAATATTACAGACTCTATTGGTTTCAGATATAAATACTACAGAGAATGACCAAAAGGAACAGTGTTAATTTTATAAGTATATTTGTTCTTGAACAAATTTGTTTTTAGAGGTAACAAAGTGTATCTGTCTGTGTGTGTAAAATTTGGTAATTCTGAAATACTCCAGACAGTGTTTGCTTTTCTCATAGTCAGAAGCTTGCACACCTGCCAAAGAATGGGATCTGTTCACTCCCAGAAACCAGAGGGGCGAACTTCCTATCTTGCAAAATCCAGATGGCAGCACTTAGAATTGCTGAGGGACTCTGGGAAGAGGGGAGAAGTGACGTGCCTGGTGTGTGACCAGGGGAAGGGAAAGCAGTGACACACCTGTGTGAGGAGGTCACTCCTTACATGGCAAAAGAGCAGCAGAAGATCTGTGTCTTTAACTTTGCAGTGGATAGATCCTTCCTAAATCTTTGTTCGCGAAGCCTAGCCGTGATGATTCACCCATACTATAAAATAATTCTCCAAAATATTCCAACCATCTTAGTAATCAGCTCCAGCTCAGTGGGAGTTTTTATCTGTTCCTGGTAGGAGTCACCTGAATGATCCTTTGTAGCACACTTTACAAAGGGGAACTAGAAAGCCAAGCCTGTTTTGTTGAGCCCGTTGGGGCCGAGGCTCCGGCCGTGCAGGAGGGGCACAGACACGCTGGGCATTCCCGGCAGTGCCCAGGGAGCAGCTCCTCCTGCTGCCCCAGCACACTGAGCCCACTGTTCATTGTAGTGGCCCACACCAGATGGCCTTTCTTAAAAATCAACAGGCTGATGGCGTGAAGGGCTCCGCTTAAAATCGCCAGAGCAAAGGAACTGATCTTTAAAGAGCTGTTTTTCTTTTGAGTTCAACCCTTTGTGTCTGGGTATTGACAGAGTCTCAGTACCCACTGAGATCTGCAGTGCAGGAACAACAGAGCTAAGTAGTGACTGTCACTGCTAATTCCTTGGAGTCTGATCACGAATAACCTTTAACAGGACTGAAAATAACAGTTTATCAGCTTCCTTGATTCAGTTGAGATAATATTTCTACAGTTTGTTACTATTTTTGAGTTACTTGAACTTCTTTAAAAATACTTTTGCATATTATTTTCTACAAAATGTAAGAAACTTTGGAGTGCTACTTAAAATAGAAGAAAGAAAATGGGTACTTACCTTGCCAAGATGTATTCAACAGAAAATGGGTGTTTCAGATATTTAGTCCTTTAACAATAAGATTTCTTTGTGCATATATTTGCTCTTAGGATGCAAACGACCATCAGTGTGCAGCAAGGAGTTTTGGGCAATGCTGGTATTTTTTAGGCAAATCTGGAACTGAAATGACGTGTCGTTTGTTCTGAGTGGGGAACTCAAACCACAGTGATGACACACTTCCTTTTGGTAACGGCCACACCATGACAGTTGGAGGGGGAAAACACCGACCTGCCCAGCTCAGCTCCCAGAGCAGCAGGAAGGGACGGGAGAAAAGGCTCTTGGGCAGACAGATGTTCTGTGTCCAGGACATCTCCTCAGGTGTCCTGCACTCGGGTGTTACCAGGAGAGGTGCCCTGGTACCCTCAAAGCTGCAGCTGTGCCTACAGCATTTAGTAGCTCTGCCTGCATCCTGTTGTTCACTTGAAAGAGTTGAGTTAATGACAGCTTGGAACAGTGGCAGGGATTTAAAAGTACCTTAAATTTTTATGAGCTACTGATGTATTTATCTTTAATTAATTCTTCCCAGTGGAATTCTGTCTGCTGTGTGAACCCTGGAGATGTGATTTAGGCAGATGTGTTGCCCAGTCTCAAAATTCACAGAATCTTTAAATGAGAAAAATTGTTCTTAATTATGTGAATGTTTTTCCAGAAAGAGTTATTTTTGTAGACAAATCCTCTGTAGTCCTCAGAGGACTGACCATTCTTGGAAACACTCCCCCAAGCATTAGAGTGTTGCAGTATATAGCAAATGGAATGGGTCTGATTCGAAAAAGTTGGTGTGTGGATGTTTATTTATTCTTAATTAAAGCTCCTGAGATAAGTATATTTTTCCACATACAAAAATAGATATAATTTGAATCTCTAAAGTGGTAGCAAAGTTAGAGGCACTTTTATTTTTAAAGAAGCTCTTGAGCTCTTTCCATGCAATCCAGCTGCACTGCTGCTCCAGCATGGCTTGGATTTTTCTCTTAGTTGAACAAACCTCCTGGAGGTCACTTGGCTGTGGGAGGTCGTGGGGCACTTCAAGATGAGGTTGAGTTGAATCCCAAGTCGAGCTCCAGCACACTGGGCACTAAACAGGGTTGGGCTGTAACCCTTGGGGAGCAGTGGCAGGGGCCAGTCTGATGCCCCTGAGGTGGCTCCGGGGTGTGGAGGCTCAGCCTGGCTCGTGTCCATGGTGGGAGTGCTGTTCGTGGCCTGAGGCCCAGGCTCTGTGCTGTGGCTCTCAGATGTAACCCAGCCATGTCTGTCTCGTCCCACAGGTTCAAGACTGGCCAGATCAATGGTGATCTGCTCATCTACCACGTGCTGCTGACCCTGAAGCCATACTATGCAAAGCCATATGAAATCGTGGTGGACCTCACCCACGCTGGCCCCAGTAATCGCTTTAAAACAGACTTTCTTTCTAAATGGTTTGTAGTTTTTCCAGGCTTTGCTTATGAAAATGTCGCAGCAGTTTTTATTTATAACTGTAACTCTTGGGTCAGAGAATACACCAAATACCATGAAAGACTCTTGACAGGTTTGAAAGGAAGCAAAAGGCTTGTTTTCATAGACTCTCCAGGGAAGCTGGCAGAGCACATCGAACACGACCAGCAGAAGCTCCCAGCAGCTACCTTGGCTTTGGAGGAGGACTTGAAAGTGTTTCACAATGCTCTCAAACTGGCTCATAAAGACACCAAAGTTTCTATTAAAGTAAGTGCTTTTAGTGCTGTTCCTGGTGATTTTTCTGTCTCTTAGTTCTCCTTCCATTTTGAGGAGAAATCACAATTTTTAGTGTGCCCCTTTAAGAAGTATAAAATTTCATAAATTTATCTTTTATAAAATTAGGAGTGTCAGACTTTTCTCTTTGTATGATTAACAGTAGGTGCTGAGCCAATTCTCTGTTCTCTTTCTAAGGTTGGGTCGACAGCTGTGCAGGTGACATCGGCAGAGCGAACACGAGTCCTGGGCCAGACAGTGTTTTTGAATGACATCTACTACGCCTCTGAGATTGAGGAAATCTGTCTTGTTGATGAGAACCAGTTCACCCTGACCATTGCCAACCAAGGCACACCACTCACCTTCATGCACCAGGAGTGTGAAGCCATCGTGAGGTCCATCATCCACATCCGGACGCGGTGGGAGCTGTCCCAGCCGGACTCCATCCCTCAGCACACCAAAATCCGTCCCAAGGATGTCCCTGGAACGCTGCTGAACATAGCACTGCTCAACCTGGGGAGCTCAGACCCCAGTCTGAGGTACAGAGCTTTGAAATCAATACCAGCTTTGGTCAAAATGTGAGAATTCTCTCCAAGGCTTCCTTAGTTTAGAAAATCTAATCGTTTTTCTGCCACCACAGCTCCATAAAGAGTAATTTCTAGTAAAGGAAGATTGGATTTCTATAGGTGAAGAAAGGCATACACTGTGAGAGGAACTGAAGTCATGTAGGAAGCTAAATTTCTCTTTATAAGGAGAAATACTTCTGCTTTGCACTGTATGTTTATTAGGTACATTTGATTTCCATGGTGTTGAACGTGTTGTTTAATAATGTGGGAGCTGTACCCCTTAGAGCAGGCTCATGATCCATGTCTGAACGGGCTCCTCTGGGCTGTGTGCTGGCCAGGGGCACCTCTGGGCCCTGGGCAGGCTCTGTCCAGCAGCTCAGGTGCACCTGGAATGATTTAGGATTTCCTGGAACTACAAGCCATTCTGAGAAGTCCCATACAAAGCCCTTCAAGCACACTCTGTACCCTCAGCAGAAATTGTTCAGAGCAAGTGGAAGAATAATTTCTTCTGTTTCTCCAAGGCAAGTGTGTTTGTCTCTGAATTGTAACTGGTGCAGGGGAAAAGTTCAGGAGTTAGATATGATTTCTACTATAGATTTGGGTTTTAAAATGGATTTGGTTTTTAAAATGTCAAAACTGCTACTGTGATGAACAATGTGTATATTTTCAAATGTACAAGAAAACTCCTACAAATCATGTTGTTTGCTTTGTTACAGGTCTGCTGCCTATAATCTCCTATGTGCCTTAACCTGTACCTTTAATTTAAAGATTGAGGGCCAGTTACTGGAAACTTCAGGTCTGTGTATTCCTGCCAACAACACACTATTTATTGTATCTATCAGTAAGACTCTTGCAGCAAACGAGCCACACCTCACCTTGGAGTTCTTGGAGGAGTGTATTTCGGGATTTAGCAAATCCAGTGAGTAGCTCTGGTGTGTCTTAATGCTCACCCTGAATGTGATAGGATTTAGGTTAGTAGCTGTCTGGCTTGGTCAGTTAAGCTTACTGAGTTACAGTCAGTTTAAATTGCAAATTCTCCTTGGGGCTGGTTTGCAGATGATCCGTTCCTGTCTGTGTCCCTGGAGCCCAGCAGTGTAACACCCTCAGGGCAGGCAGTTTCCCAGACTGGATGGCAGCTCTTGGAACAAAACTTTTCATATTTGAATGTGCCCTCTCCTTTCTCCTGAAGCAGATTAAAAGGCAGCTGCCTTTTTTTTTTAAACTTTGAAATTAATGTTAAAACAAGTTTTACTTGACATCTCATTCATTGAGAGAGTTCAGTGCATTCAGAGAGATCACAATACAAACAATTCCTTTCATATCCCTGTGATAGTTTGTGCAGTGATTACTTTGGGTAGATTTCTGTTGGGCTGTTATTAATGCACCAGAAGTGGAGATTATAGAACAAAAGCCTAAATTTGAGGTCTATGATAGTGAAGGTTTGAACTCTGGAATATACATGCACAGAAGAGTTAGAGGTTCTTTAGTCATATCAGAGCTGATCTTCTCCGAGGATCCTCTCTCTCTGTTGTACATCTGGCTCTGTTGCCCTCCTTGTGCCATCTCTTTTTTCCAGGCATAACACAGCTCTGACTTTACTGTTGGGAGCTGTTTAGAATATTTTCCAAAGATTAAAAAGACTTTAATTTAAGTAGTCCTGCCTAACATTGAATGTGCACATTTTTATGTCACATCTTGTAATAAGATATTAAAATGTCACCATCTCCTTGCCAGATGCCTACAGATGTTTCTTGGGTGTAATTATTGGAGTTATTAGTGTTTCTTTTTGAAGCTTCTCTGTTTGCCCAGTGTTCTTTGCTCAGCTCTGACAGTAATTATTTTAGACAGCAAAACTGAAAGGAAAAGTGCTCACAAAGAATGATTTATGAACAGAGGCCAGTGCTGGTTCTGTGTTCCAAGGTGCATTTCTCTTTCAGGCATTGAGCTGAAACACCTCTGTCTGGAGTACATGACTCCCTGGCTGTCCAACCTGGTCAGGTTCTGCAAGCACAACGACGATGCCAAGCGCCAGCGAGTCACTGCTATTCTGGATAAGCTCATCACAATGACAATAAATGAGAAACAGATGTATCCTTCCATTCAAGCTAAGATATGGGGAAGTCTTGGACAGGTACAGATTTTGCACCATTTGTAAACAGATTATAGAGTTTTTAACCACTTAAATGTCAATGTAGAAGAATAAAACGGCTCCTAACACAGCCCCGGTGTGTGAGCCACATGGAGAGCAGTGAGCAGGTTCTTCTGAAGTTTCCACTCTGTAAAATGCTTCATGAAATCATTACTGAACTCTGGCTTCTAGAAATGTGTTCCTGGCCCTTACTGAGAATTGAAAATTACGAGCTGTTGGTAACGGTAGTAATGAGTTGATCAGAACCCCAGGGTGGAGGGTCTGGATGGAAAGAGGAGAGCACTGACACTGAGGGGTATGAGGCCCATGGCATCGAACAAACACATTTTTTTCTCTTTGCACTTTTGAAACAGAGGCATTTTGATTCCCATCCTGTTGATGATTAGTTTAATTATCAACATGAGAAGAGTAAAGCTGACACCACGCATGCCATTCAAGGGGAAGGTGTCTGGGCAAATGTGCTTCCTGTGGCCAGGCTCCCCCACGAGCTTTGCATCGACTTCCTCCTTGGCACACTATTTTAGTGATTTTTTTTTTTAACTGCCATCCAAACTGCTGTAGCCCAGCATCAAAGAGCTGCTCTTGGAGAATGTGGGAGACCTGACAAATGGATGCATGAGTGGGATTTCTTCCTTGTTCCATTGGCAAAAAACACCCAACAAAACCCCCCAAAACAAAACAAAAAACCCAACTTATTTTGAAAGCTTAAATCACACTTAAAGCTGTATGACTGTTATGTCCAGTATCAGAGGCAGTCAGCAGGTAAATATGGAGAACAAAAGAGATGAAATATTTCACAGCAGTCGGTGGAAGTTTTGTCATTGACTGAATTGACCTGACCGGAGTTGCAACCACTTCTGATGAAGTGATGAGAGCTGAGTTTGAACCAGTACTGAAATAGCATCAGTGTTTGCCTGTGTGTTACCTCTAGAGTTTGAGGGTTCTGTGCTCTTGGACAGATCAGCTTCTTACCTGCATATATATTAAATGTCTTTTTATTTAACATGAGAAGAAAGTTTTTACTGGCAACCATATTCACACACGACTGTGCTCTAAGCAAGAACTGTGACAGATAGATCTTGCTTATTTTCTTGGAAGTATGTTTTTTTCTGCTTCAAATCCAGTTCCTTCTTACTGTGTTCAGCATTTTATAAATAGTTATGCTTTTAAAGTGGAAACCAAAATAAAAATAGTGCAAAATAAATTATAGTTTCTCCACAGTACTGAAGCATTTCGAGTAAAACCTGATGGAATTCAGCTTTATGGTTCTAAAATTTACATGAGGCTTTTTGCCAAAAGAATAATGAGTGACTAAAACTGATGCTTCCGTTTGTGATAGTTTTGCATCTTCAGCTAAAGAAATGTACAATTGCTGATTTCAGTGATGCTTCACTGTGGGAAACCAAAGTTAAGCTGACTGGTAAGAGAGGATTTCTTTCCTGTCTCAGATAACAGATCTCCTGGATGTGGTGCTGGACAGTTTCATCAAAACCAGTGCCACGGGGGGCTTGGGCTCCATCAAAGCTGAGGTGATGGCAGACACGGCTGTGGCACTGGCTTCTGGCAACGTCAAACTCGTGTCAAGCAAAGTGAGTTCCCTCTTTGCCTTATTTCCTTTTATATAATAGTTTCAACTTATCTGCTAATGTGACACTGAGATGCTTTCTGATCTCAGTACAGGCAATGATGCAGAAACCATGACAAAATAGCTTCCAAGCAATAGAATCGTTCCAGTGTTGAATTGTGGTGGTTATTACTGGATTTTGAGCTGGGCTGCTCTTTTGAGCACAACAGGATGGTTGCTCTCTTTGCAGGTGATTGGGAGGATGTGTAAAATCATCGACAAGACTTGTCTGTCCCCCACTCCCACGCTGGAGCAGCACCTGATGTGGGATGACATTGCTATCCTGGCCCGCTACATGCTCATGCTGTCCTTCAACAACTCCCTGGATGTGGCTGCACACCTCCCCTACCTCTTCCACGTGGTCACTCTGCTGGTGGCCACGGGCCCCCTTTCCCTCAGAGCTTCCACTCATGGTCTCGTCATCAACATCATTCACTCTCTGTGCACTTGTTCACAGCTTCACTTCAGTGGTGAGTTTTTTTGGAGTTTCAGTGAAGATGATTGCTCCTTAATTTGTTTAGCAAATATTTGAGTTGTCATTCTCTCTGCAAACTATTCTGAGAGTTTGAAAATAGAGCTTTGTAGCTCAACTTGAATACAAATCAGAATGAAGATATGATCAACAAGAAATGAGTATGGAAATAAAAAATATCTCGTTTAGAGCAGGTGCATAATGCAAATTGTTTGTATAAGTTTCTAAAACCCATTGTATAATGGGTTTTAGAAAAAGAGAAGAAAATACCAGTGAGTTTCTGGTGAGGCAAAGGAGAAAATACAATCTATGCTAAAACTGGCTGATGTGCATCTTGTGAAGGGTTGCATAATGTGGTAACAAAAATATCAATTACCTAAGGGAATTGTGAAGCTATAGTGTAAAACAGGTATTTTATCTACTGTTGTATTTTAGCAGTCCTAAATAAGAGGTGTTAGCAATTAGCCACTTCTTGCCACAGAAGCACAGGCTGGATTTTGTGCAGAAAAAAAATTCCAAGTTTCTGTAATCTTGTCCTTTTTTAAGTATCTGAAAGCTCAAGTTATGTCTATATATATGGAAGGGGTGAGTGGGTGCACACACACACATAGAGAGGCTGTGCTTTGGCACAGGGAGCCTCCTTGAGCCCTCCTGCTTGCACGGGGGGTTGGAGTGCACCGAGATAACCTGCAAGGACAGAACTGAGAAAATAGTCAGTGCTAGGAACAGGCCATCATTTTCTTCTGCTTTAAGTGGCTTTCTTCATGTCAGTGCCAGAGCCAAAAGCAGAGTTTGCTGCAGTTTGAACCTCCAGTTGTGTTGGTATTTCAGAACAGGAACGCTCTGGGTTTCCATTTCCTGAATCAGTGTGAGGAGAAGTCACAGAACCACATCTTTGAGAAAGTTGCTTTGTACCTCTTCCTTGTGCCTGGTTTCAACAATCAGTGCAGGGGGGCCCAGCTGTTGTGGCATATTTGGGGAGCAGCAGCAAAAGGGAACAGTGTTGGGATGTGCAGTGACCTGCAGGCTGTTTATCTGCTCTGGTGTTGGGAGGGCGAGGCCTCAGAGCGTTAAAATGTGGATTGGAACTTCCAAGGTATAAATCTAATATGTTAATCTTTATTCAACAGAGGAGACCAAGCAAGTTTTAAGGCTGAGCTTGACTGAGTTCTCTCTGCCCAAGTTTTATTTGCTGTTTGGGATCAGCAAGGTGAAGTCGGCCGCGGTCATCGCGTTCCGCTCCAGCTACCGCGACAGGTCCTTCTCGCCCGGCTCCTACGAGAGGGAGACCTTCGCTCTGACCTCGCTGGAGACCGTCACCGAGGCCTTGCTGGAGATCATGGAGGTACGGGGGCCTCAGGGAAGGTCCTCAGGGAAGGTCCCTGAGGGAGAGGGGCACTGCTGCCCGTGCTGCAGGCTGGCAGTGCGGGGACACCGCCCCGGCATGGTTAGAGATACCAGGAGCTGACTCCTGAGAGTAAACTGCTGCACACTGAATTTACAAAGTACTTCTGCTTAATGTCACATGCATTCAAACAGTCTAATTCTTTTTAGGCCTGTATGAGGGATATTCCAACGTGCAAGTGGCTGGACCAGTGGACTGAACTAGCTCAAAAGTACGTGGTAGATGTCACACCCTGCCTGTGTAGCACACCCGAAATTCTCAGCATTTGTTATACATATATTTTTTTGTTGTTGTATATATGTTGTTTAATGCAGTGTCCTCTGTTTCTTCATAGGTTTGCATTCCAGTATAACCCCTCCCTGCAGCCAAGAGCACTGGTTGTTTTTGGCTGTATAAGTAAACGTGTGTCTCATGGACAAATAAAACAAATCATCCGAATTCTCAGCAAGGTATATGGGGCTGTCTGTTTTTCTTTGTGACTCATAAAGTAGCTAATTTTAGTTCTGTCTTCCCATCAAATATAGAACTTGGCATAATTTGAGGATAAATATATTTTTCAAGCATATTTTTGTATAGAACTGATTGGAAATACGCTTTCTGTAGGCCAGGCCTTTTATTTTGAATTGATTTGGTGGCAATAAGTTCTGTCACTGCTGTGACTTGTAGAGTAACAATAGGGCTCGATATTGAGTTTAACATTTGAGACAAAGGTGGATTCAGCAGTCAGTTATTTAAATAAATGAGAAATTTTCTGTTAAGGCGTTTACCTGCATACACATGATTCACAACTTCCTTTCTCCTAAAGGAAGTGCATAACCTCATGTGATGTAAGTAAATACAGTAAAGAGCAGGACATTTATATCAGAAAAAATCGAAACAGGCTACCTGGACTGACAGTGATGTTCCCTTTTTCTGAAGAAGGTTGTGTTCCATAGCAAGTGAGCAGTGTGCTAAATATGTGTCCTTTAAGCATTTTATTTGAGTTTTATGGACATAAACTTTAATTGAATGGCATCTAAATGATAAAAGAGCTTCTCTCCAGCTCTTACACCCTGCTCTGCACCCTGGCTGTTCTGGTGCCCGTTGTGCAGCTGCTCTCAGCAGTACATATATCACTGCTGTGTAAAATCTCCATTTGGAAAAGTTCTTGAGAATTGGTGTAAAATGAGCTCAGGCTTTGTAAATAATTGAGAGCTGCAATTATTGTGTAGAGCTTTGATCTTCTTTTTACAAAGCAAAGTGTAATTATGGTTGTATTTTTAATTATTCTCTTTTCTTACAAAAAGGGACTTGAGAGCTGTTTAAAAGGCCCTGATAATTACAATAGCCAAGTTCTAATAGAAGCCACAGTTATAGCCCTCACCAAGCTGCAGCCTCTTCTTAACAAGGTAAATAACTGGCTTTATAGAGTAAACAGAGAATGTATTTTATAAATTAAAATTCTAATTGTGGGTACAATCCCAGATAAGTGTTGGGGTATCTGAAGTTCCCACTTCACTGCTGTGACTCATGCTTGGAAGTACCACATATGGGACATGTGGCAGATTGTCTGTGGGACCTGTGCAAAGGCTTTGGAAATGCTGCAGGATGTTCTGTTCTGCTTCCCCAAACTGGGCCATGTGGGCAAAGGCTGTTCCCAGGCTTGCTTTCCACAGCATTTCCAGCCCTGCCTTTCGGGTGTCATTGCTGGTATGTCCCTTCCACGTCAGGCTGGAGGAAATGGCAGGGCCTGGTTTGCTGGGAATTCACCCAGCTGAGGGTACTGTCAGGTGCCCTGTTTGAGCAGCAAACCAACAGGTACAAGGAGGAGCACCTGTTTTGTTGGAATGGATGTGGCTGAGGACAAAACCTGCTACGAGGAGGACAAACCCCCCCGTGGGTCCTGGTTGTTGTTCATCTACAGGAACTGACTTGGAAGTGAACTGGTGGCTCTTTCTCTCCCCTCCAGGACTCTCCTATGCACAAGGCTCTCTTCTGGGTGGCCATGGCAGTGCTGCAGCTGGATGAGGTGAACCTGTACTCGGCAGGAACAGCACTGCTGGAGCAGAACCTGCACACCCTGGACAGCCTGCGGGTGTTCAATGACAAGGTGAGCTGGCAGCACTCAGCTCTGGCTGACCCTTCAGTGATGTCAGCGGTCAGAGCTGTTAAAGAAGGGGAAAAAAACCCCAACTTTGTCCTTGTGGGCACTGCTTAAGCAACTAAACCTGAAATTTGCATTAGAAGTTGTTTCACTTGAGTGATATCAACAGCAGAACTAAGATGTGGAGATGAAGCTCTTATTGCTCTGTGTGAAACTGGAACAGAAATGTCCAGAGGTGATCTGTGAGAAAGTGTCTGATATTTTCCTGTGACCTCTTAAAGGAACTGTTTTGTCACTTAAAAAAAGTAACTTCCAGTGAGGTACTCTTTTATTTTATTTCTTTTGGGTCAGAGCCCAGAAGAGGTGTTCATGGAGATCAGGAGACCACTTGAATGGCACTGCAAGCAAATGGATCATTTTGTTGGGCTAAATTTCAATTCCAACTTTAACTTTGCACTAGTGGGACATCTCCTGAAAGGTAAGAGTGTATACTGCTGTTCCTTTTAGATGAACACTCTTAATTTGGAAATAAAAACAAGTCCAAGCATAAAGGGCACAAACAGGGTGGTGGATTTTAAGTAACTTGGATTACAGAGTAGATGCAGAATTAAATGTTCTTTGACTAAAGGACTTTGCCAGGTTTCCTTTATACATGTCCTAGAAAGGTCTTTAATGATGTAAATTCTGAACTGTCGCAGGACGTGGGGCTTCATTTGCTGCAGTTCTTTACTTCTTCCTCCAGTGTCTCTCTGTGTGTTTGCCTGCACTCAGGCTCACTGTTCCTTTTAGAAGACTGATTTGTGGGGCAATAGATACAATGCATGCACAAACATTTGAAATTATGTGGTTTTGAGGGATGGGACAGAAAGAACTAGTCTTGAATATGCAATTTCTGTCAGCGCTGTGCTTCCTTACCCTTGAGACAGAGTGTCCTGAGAACCTGCTGGAAAATCTTCATAAGTATTTTCAAAATATTAATGCTTTAGAAATATGGGTTCAAGAATTAAATGCAATATTTTGTTTCTTAGGGTACAGGCATCCTTCTCCTACCACTGTAGCAAGGACAGTGAGGATTTTGCACACACTCCTCGCTCTGGTTAACAAACACAGGAACTGTGACAAGTTCGAGGTGAACACCCAGAGCGTGGCTTACCTGGCAGGTAAAATGGACCAAACTACCTTTTGAATCTGTGCTGATGGAAAAGGAGTGGATTATTTGGGAATTCCTTCAGGTTTAGGTTGTTGGAATTGTACCAGCATAAAGGAAACTTGTAACTGGAGGTGGACAGGAGTGTGGGCAGGGTGGGTTCATCAAGGAAAGCTGTTTGGGGACTGAGGGCTTTGCCAGCACAGCACCTGCTCTGCAGCTTTGGAAATCCTTCAAGGAGGCTGAAGGTTTCTTGGTGTAAGTACTAAAGGGTGTGTCTAAGAGCATTCAAATTTCTAGTGGTCTAGAAATAGAAATTGTGACATGTGAGGGTCAATGTGTAAATCTTGTCGTTGTAACTGGATGGGGAGTATAATTCTTTTTAAATGACCTGCTTTTAATCTGTATATTTCATAAGGTGTAAATACAACTCAGTGGTCTTCTTTGGGCTCAGTAAAAACTGTAAATTGATGGCATATTGTTTATATTGTTCAATGCATTTCCAGCTCTGCTGACAGTGTCTGAGGAGGTTCGGAGCCGCTGCAGCCTAAAGCATAGGAAGTCTCTCTTGTTGACAGACGTGTCAATGGAAAATGTTCCTATGGATACATATCCCATACATCACAGTGACACTAGCTATAGGTTGGTTGTCTGACTTCTAGATAAGTTATCCAAATGGCAATATCTGTTTCCTTTAGGAAGTGACCTGGAGATAACCTGTGGTATACTGAGGGCTGAACCCCCACTGACAGCACTGAGTTCCTGGGCTGTGACTGGTTCCTGACCAATTTGCTGCTTCCACTGTGATCAGGAGTCAAAGACAAATTTGGGCCTGGAATTCACACAGATTTAATTTTCAATTTTCAAATCCATAAAACTATTTCAGAGTTTAACTGCTCTGGAGGCTGTAATACTTTTTGCTAACATCTTTCTACAAATCTGATTTAATCTCATTTATATTTTAGAAGAAAGTTTTGTTTGTGCTTTTAAGAGCTCCAAGGCATGTACTTGTCTGTGCTGCTGGAAAACCCTGACACCTTATTACAGCCTGTCTGTGTGCAACCAGAGACATCAGCCAGGGAATCAACCTGGAAGTGCCATGGAGAGCCTGTGTCTCTCGACAGGGAGCACCTTGCTCAGGATCTCTATTTTTAGCATTGAGCATGGAGTAGCTACGTATTAAATATGTTTCTTCTTGCCCCATAGGCTGATTTGCTTGTGTTCTTTTCATTACTTTATTTTTTATCTCCTCAGCATTACATTGACATCAGATTGTTTGGTTTCACTACCTCAGACATTTTTGCAAGCAAAGTAATTACTATGTCTTAATATGTGTTTAGGGTAAATTAACTTGGTGGGAAAGATGGGTTTAATAAAGGATAGTTTGGCTGCTTGAGAAACTTAGGCCTAAATGTGCAGAGTTTTAAAGATTTCCTTAATTTAATTTCTTTGCACTTGCAGGACACTAAAGGAGAACCAGCCCTGGTCATCCCCCAAGGGGTCAGACAGACACCTGGCTGCCAACTACCCGACCGTGGGACAGATCAGCCCCCGCACCCGGAAATCCATGAGCCTGGACATGGGGCAGCCTTCACAAGCCAACACTAAAAAGCTTCTAGGTTATTTAAGATAACTAAGTTGTTGATTTTTTCTACAGAATACCCTGGGAAGCATTACTGGAGAAAAATTATTCTCTTGTATTGGTTCTGACTTCAAGGGCTTAGTCCTGATTCAGAGGAATATGTACAGTTTCTGCAAAATACAAATTGCAGGACACTGGACAGTTAAAGAGGACTCAGTTCTTTTGGTCATGAAGGGAGGGAGCAAGAGTGACACTCAAAATGTGCATGTGAAGTGGAAAAGGGAGAAAAGGAAGAAAAAAATATATTCCAGTCACTAAAGATTCCTCGTGCCAATTTTCTGCTACCAGCCCTATCCAGCAAACCCAAGAAGTGAACACTTAGCTCAGCTGCTCTGGTTTGTGCTAGAGATGGTCCAGAACACTGGAGATGTTTTATAAGCAATCTGATTCGTGTTCATGGCTTCTCAGGGCATCGTGTTTCCAAACCAAGTCTTTTATCAGAGGAACAAGCTGAGTTGCTCTGCAGAACTTGCGGGAGCCCTTTGGCCCTACCCAGGTGGCAGAAGAGGGGCATTTCCTTCATTGCAGCCCTGTTCCTGCTTCCTTTTCAGTACCCACCTTGTGGCATGTGTCTCAGTGTGGTGTGGTGCCCAGGGGTCCATGGCATGCCCACCTGACTAACTGCATGTTCTCCTCATGTGTGTTGTGAAGCACTTTGGAAACTGTGATGGAGAGCGGCATGGTGTGACCGTCCTGTCTGTCCCATCCCGGAGAACGGGAGAATGTCCCCAGATTCCTGGCAGTACACGGTAGAGAGGGGAGTAGCTTGGCCAGAAAATCAGAAAAAGTTAGAAAATGGATTCAGGTTTAATGTTTTTAATTGCCTGATAAATTGTTTTTAGGTACAAGGAAAAGTTTTGACCATTTGATATCGGACACAAAGGCTCCTAAAAGGCAAGACATGGAATCTGGAATCACAACGCCTCCCAAAATGAGGAGAGTAGCCGAAAATGATTATGAAATGGGTGAGAAACAGGACTAACATTTTAAGAATAATACTAATTATGAACACTTTGTATATCTATACAAAGGATTATTTCTAAATTGAGTGTTTATTTACCAAGGTTACTCCAAGGTAAGGGAGAAGCACCTTTCTTAGCAGTGCTTCCTATCGCTGGCAGCTGAGGCTGGAATTGGAGCTGCTCAGTTTACAGGTGCAGAATCAGGGCAGCCCCAAAGTCCTGCATATAGGAGTGCAAGCAAATAAACAACATTTGGCTTGTTATAAGTTAATAAGCCCCAGCTGCAGATTCCTGCAGGAGATGGAATGTGACCTGATGCCTGGAATGCCTCTCTTCATCTTCTCCCCCATCTGCTTCCTGTGCCCCCACCCCCAATTGCAATGCAAGACCAGGGTTCTTCTCTTGAATCTGCCTGACCCTGAATTTGGTACTTACACCCCTGGGCCTGTATTTCACTGACAAGGAAATTGGGGTTTTTGTTTGCCATCTGATACCACATCCCATGGACTGGTCCAGTGCTGCTCTGTTCCAGCACAGTCGTTGCTGTCACCTCGCTGAAGAGGCTGGTGAACTCTGAGGTTTGCACATGACTGAATCTGTTGTGCAGGAGCTGATCCTGTCTTGCTTTGGGTTTATTTTGCTCTTTTTTATCTGGCAGAAACCCAGAGAATATCACCACAGCAACACCCACATCTCCGGAAAGTTTCCGTTTCCGAGTCAAACGTCCTCCTGGATGAAGAGGTTCTGACTGACCCAAAAATTCAAGCTCTGCTGCTTACAGTTCTTGTAAGCTTTCTTCTGTGTATTGTCTGCTATTTTCTGATGTCCTTCCAGCTCCCAGTGAAGCAAACGTGTTAATTGGAGTCTTTCCTGGCTGAGTTTTATCCAAAACTAATTTTATATAATAAAAGATTATTAATATATTATAGGTTAAAAGAAATGAAAATTGTTGGAATCTCAGCATAATTCACTTTAAAAGTCATTAGACAGTAATGTGGTACAGTCTGATAGACCTTCCTTCAGCTGTGCCAATGCAGTTCCCAGGACACAGACAATTCAGAGAGACTCAGTTGGACACTTGTGCCCAAACCCAACTAGATGAAGTTATTGCCAAAATAGAGGCTGTTACCAACCGATTTAGTTGTTTCCTAGTACAGACATAAGTGAATCTTCTGTAGTGCTGCTTTGTGCTAGTCAGAATTGTCAAGCCCTTACCCACAGCACAGTCAGGGCTGTCAGTGAGCTGATGGGGTCTCTCCCTGTGCCAAGTGCCAGGCACTGCTGGGGTCTCTCCCTGTGCCAAGTGCCAGGCACTGATGGGGTCTCTCCCTGTGCCAAGTGCCAGGCACTGATGGGGTCTCTCCCTGTGCCAAGTGCCAGG